ATATATATTCCAGTTACAGTCACAGGGATATAGACATGTTCTTGTTACAGTGGTGGGATGTCTATATTCTAGCTACAATAGTAGGGTGTCTATATTCTGATTTATGTTTGGTAATTCTGCACAAGGACAGGAGAGACTTCAGCCTGTCCATCCACATGGCTTGTGCTGCCTCTTGTCACTCTGCTGGAGTCCATGGCAAGGAGGGTATTCCAGTTACAGTCACAGGGATATAGACATGTTCTTGTTACAGTGGTGGGATGTCTATATTCTAGCTACAATAGTAGGGTGTCTATATTCTGATTTATGTTTGGTAATTCTGCACAAGGACAGGAGAGACTTCAGCCTGTCCATCCACATGGCTTGTGCTGCCTCTTGTCACTCTGCTGGAGTCCATGGCAAGGAGGGTTTGCTCTGAATGAGTGTTCTCTTGACATGTAAGCCTGTAGATTTATAAGCACTTCTTATCCTCTGAGGGATAGCATCAAGCTGACAGATTATGAGGAAGAATATGATTATGTATCTTTGTGCACATTTGCTGATGAACATCATTATTCATGTTGCTTGAAATCAGACATTTATCCCTTTAGCTTATTCAACAGTGTCAGCTTTTCGAAACATGTCTCTTTGAAGAAATAACCCTGATCCAATCTGCAGTAAATCAATCACTAAGGTATTTCAAATAACTCCTAAATCTTCAATTTCTCACAAAAATAACCTCATGAAAAACATTTTCTTTATTCAGTGATCATCACTATAATCCTAATTTATGAAAATTAATAAAACTACCTGGTGTGCATATATAAATAAGTAATTTAATGTGCTCAAAAGATTGCAAGGTAAAATAATTACTTATTAGGAAAAAGTCAATGAGTATTTTAAAGTGCAATATCTTTTTGGAGATAATTGTAACTTTCCTCATAAAACTCCTTGTTTCTAAATATTCTACCACTTTTTCATTTCAATCACACTTTTTAATTCTTTTTTATTTCTATTGGTAATTATCTGAAGTATATTTATTATTGAAAAGACACGATATCTACATTCTGTGTCCTAAACTACTAAAATTCTACTTTTCTAAAATGATGTATCATCCACTTATTACATAATTGAACTAAGGGAGGAAAGTATCAATGGGTCAATTTAATAGAGCGTACCGTAACAATGCATGGTGTGCCAGAGAGCAGAGATCTGAAGGAAGGTGTGGAAGGAATACCACCCTGACCGGTGGTCCGTTACCGTGAAATAGAGAACAGGAATGTGGTGATGTATAAAGCTTGATTTACCCAAGGATACACTGTGTTTGAGGAAATATGATAATTAGAGGCCTTGCATTTAAAAAAATATGGATCTACGATTATTTTGTTTTAGGTTTTCATTATTCACATTTTATAGTAAATGCTAGAACTCCCATGTCAAACTCCTACAAAGTCTGTACACATTTTTTGTTAAGCATTTTTTTCTTTTTTTTTTCTTTTGGTAGCGGGGATTGAACTTGAGTCCTTGCACTTGCAAGGCAGGCCACAGAACCACTGAGCTAAATCCCCAGCCCTTTATTTAGCATTTTTATGCTTAGAGGTTTTAAAGCCTTTCACCAAATTTCCCATGGTTCTGTAACTAAACAGAGTTTAAGCAGCTGAAAATGACAACTAGGTAGATAAAATACAGGGATAATATATGGACCATTTGGAATACACATTGTTTTTAAGTGGTTTCCCAACCGCAGTATGTAATAATTAATAAACATAAATAACACAACCACCTGAATAAGATTTGTGTAAACTAAGAGGGCTTCTCTCCTTGTTATTTTTGTTGTTGTTGATTTTTTGTTTATGCAGTGCTGGGGGCCAAATCCAGGACCTTACACATTCTAGGCAAGCACTTTACAAAACACTGAGGTACACCCCCATCCACAAGAAATTGTATCTGTCTGTTTCATGAGAGAACAGCATGCTCTTTATGTATGCCTTATGACTTGATATGCATTTTAGTTGATAGTGTACAGAACTTAGGATCAAACTTTTTTTTTTTAGGTACCGGGGGATTGAACTCAGGTCCTTGCGCTTGCGAGGCAGGCCACAGAACCACTGAGCTAAATCCCCGGCCCCTAAGATCAAACTTTTAATGAACTCTTGCATGAACCCACCCTCTTTTGTATTTATGCACCTAAAAATGGTCTTTATTAAAAGACCGCCATTGCTCTGTGTTCCTAAAATGGGACAGTCTTGATCTAGTTCACCATCAGCCACAAACTTTCATGAAAACAAGGACAACAGCAATCAACATTTCAACATCACCATGTCCTTATTTTATTTCTTAAGTTCTTTTTTATCCCTAAATTCTTATAAATTCCAAATTCTTACAATAACAGCTCTTGTTGTGACACTTCTTTCTAAAATTCTGTAACATAAAGCAGTTAATTTTTTTAACTGCTTAAAAAGTGTTTGGCAAAGAGTGACAGTGCATGCTGATGATTTCTTTG